CAGCAGCAACAGCAGCAACAGCAGCAACAGCAGCAACAGCAGCAACAGCAGCAACAGCAACATCAAATTCCTCATACTATCTGCATATATTGTCCACGTCCTGGTCCTGCAGGTGCTCTTCAGAATCAGCATTTTCATCTCTGCTGAGGTATGGCAGCTACCTTGCCTGCAGGCTTCATTGAGGAAGCGGTGGGCGCTTACATGGATGCCATGTCAGAGGCCCATGATGGACCTGCAGGGCCCTGAGGACCGAGCCGGGGTGCGTGGATGGGTTGAGGAGTTGACCGGAGATCCAACAGTTTTGGTTGCTTAGTCACAAAAGACATTCCCATGGTGCAGGCACATGCTGGAATGACTTAGCAGATGATGGTTGATGACATACGACCAAGATCATATACTGTATGTAGTTTGAACCTTATGTTTGCTGTCTTGATGACAATTCCTGAGAAGAAAAGTGTATAGTCTTGGCAATAGAATCTACTTGAGGTTCTTCTCCGATTCCTGCCTTCAAACTGAGATGAGTCGGTATTGATTTTTGTAGGACGTGCATGTGAAATTCATTGCCCTCCACTGTTCGCGATCTTGCTTAACATCAGCTTTTATCAGGCTTATGTTAGAAGGACAACAGTGCTTTCTACCCTTTCTGACAGCGCCCTGGTGAGCAAAAACAAAATCAACAAGCACTCTAGATTGTACATATGAGGATCAACTCGCGGTGGTTTCATTCATTAATTTTCTCATGCTGGAGGACTCTTTGAGAGGAAGCCCATGGATGGAGCGCATTTGAAGTGGCACACCATTAGCTGGACAGTTGGTCCAGCAACGGTGCAGCCAACGCAATAGTGCCAACCTCACTCAGAGTAGTCCAAAAGGTTGCGGATAGTGACATTGCTTGAACAAACACGACGAAGGGTATCAAGTCAAGCCTGTGGGCATTTGGCTCCTGTTTTGGTTGTTGACTACAACTTGGCTGCAGCGCTCGTAATCTCCAAGTAGTTCGGCTCAGCCTGCCGAAAGGCAGCTGGATTCAATAACATGTACAGAGTGTGAACGTTCGCTGCGCTGGCTTGACACTCTGTCAAGCATACACACATATGAGAGCCCCAGGCAGAGATTTGGGGCACCCTCCTGACAGGAACAGATTCAGTTTGCTGGTCAGGTGAATGATGCGCTTTGTAAAATGAGCGAGTGCCAAGACCAGTATTTGGTGGAAGGCCGTTTATGTTGGGATCTTTAATTGTTTTCCAGTTTTTTCCTGGTGGGTAGTCAAGGCAACAAGAAAGGTAGCGGAGCAAACAAGCAATCAAGCAAGTAAGGATGGAATGAACGAAGGAAGGAACCCACCTGAGGGTAAAAATTAGAATTGGGACCGAGGATAAAATGTAGAGCACAGGAGCTTGCATTTTTTTAATTCTTTTTCAACGTTTTTGTGTTCTTTTGGGGGATGCCTGTGCTCCCGTCCCATTCCACGAAATCTCGAACTTCTCCGACTTCCTGCCTGCCACGAAATCTGACTTTTAGTGGCCACACCCCATGAGTTTCCTCCCTCTTCCATTTTTGCTCCACAATTTCCTTTCATTTTCTGAACATCTTTGCATAGGAACAAACACAAATACCTTCTTAAAAAAGCGCAAGAAGTTACAAATTAAGTCTACTTGGACAACGTCATTTTTTGTACGAGTTTTCCTATGTCTCTTGCACAAGATGCACCTCTGCTCTTTTTCTGTTGGCCAGGGACAACCTGGCCCACGGTTATGGCACTTACGTTCACCAGAATGGGACGGTCTATCAAGGCGCCTTGGTAGAAAGACCCAGTAGACCAAGGGTCTACTGAAGAATGGGAGGGTCTTAAGAACAGCAGCGGAGGACGATTCTGACAGCCTTCAAACGATGCAGGAACAACCTATTGTAAGGTGAACAACATCTCTCTCTCTCTCTCTCTCGACTGCTCTGTTTCATAGGATTCTTGGTTCGTGGCTACTGGTTCAACGTGTAGCACTCTGTATTGATTTCTGTGGCCTTGAGTCACCGCATTGGATGTTTCGTGGTACCTCACGAACATAAACGATTATCCATGTGTATTGTTGTGTATTCATTGAACTTCTTCACTATGATTTCTCACTGATGTTTTCATTATACAAGCGCATTTTCTCGCTGTCAATGGAGTGCCAGGCCAATTCCGCAACGACCTGCAGGATCTCGCAGTGTACAATAATCCAGAGATGCTGCTATCCATGACATACAGTTGATGCACCAAACCCTGCATGGGTGAGATATTTTTGTCCATCAATAGGAGGGATGCGAAGTGAAAAGTACGATTTAACAGGGAGAACATGTGCATATGCAACTTGTTCCTGACGGGACATGGAGCGGACCAATGTAGAAGTAGTATGAAGTACGTAGTTTGTTTGTAAGATTTCCAAGGCCTTATTTTCTCCCTTCTCTAGTCCCAACATGTTGAGAAGGATGAAGCCTGAGACAAAGCACAGAGTGAAGCTCTGTTCAAATGCGCGATGCTCGCGGAGAGGATGGCTTTGCGATTGAGACCTGGCCCGACCAGTCGCAATTCATTGGGGAGTTCTCGCGTGGGAAGAAGAGTGGAAGTGGGGTGCGGCCGGGCAGAATTGAAACCGGATTGCAAGAAACCTTTGTCGATTCCTGCGTTTAGGGAGGTGTAGGAGAGTCTCTGTCAGACTTGCACTTACAGCGCGCGGACACTCTGCATTGACTCATTGCTGTGCCAGTTCCTGATCGCCAGGAGTACCGCTGGCCGGACGGATCAAAGTATCTGGGGCTCAGATCCCAGTGGCAGTCAGCAGGGGTGTCAGCTCTTTTTGCTCCAAGTTGTTGGACTGTATTGGATTCGCATGTCTTTTTTGGACATCATCGCTTTCTTTCAGGATTTCAGTGTTCAACGGATTTTCAATACACCAAAACCACATTTGATTAGACATCTACTACTCCTGGCTTTGGAGGCAGTGGTGCATGAACATGATCGACGGTTGTGGTCCAGCTGCCTCGCTTGATCTTCCTGCGAAATAGCCTTGGCACCTGATGTCGCCATCGCTAGGCATCTACACGGGTGTCGATGGCAGGAAGTATCGAGGTCGATGGATGGTGACTCGCTCAATTTTCCAAACTTCCAAATTTCCTTCGATGGCTGTCATGCGAACTTGAGGCCTCGACGATGCATGGCTGCGGGAGTTACCAATGGGTCAGGAGCCCAAATGTGGAGGTGACAATGGTGACCCTGGTTTAGGTCCAGAACTGCCAAAGCTTTCCCGATCGCAGAACCAACAGTGCTTCTCGATGGCAGGGCTTTCCAAGCACGTTTGCTTGCCAACGAGGTCGATGGCCGCTGCTACCAGGTGCCCACAGGGCCTTGAAGACGAACAACTCGTCGAAGCAGCCCGTATGAGTACGATCGTGTTTGCGAAGTGACACCTTTCAATCCTTTCATATATGTATACATATTATATATAGAGTGCTTATCCTTCTCAAGAAAGGAGCTAGGAAAAAGAAGAACCCCTCCAACCAAGTAACTCTTGAGAATTCTGGAGAGTTTCTGTTGAGAGACTTTCTGCTTAACGAACAACATGGACATTTTAGAAGCCAAATCGACGCAAAGCCATCGGAATGTGCAGATCAGCAGGCTTCTTGAACCAACCATCCAGCCTGACGCCTCGTTTTTCTGGTTCGTTTGGTTGCGTTGAGTTTCTAGTGCATTCTCCGCCAGGGGCAGTATGTCAGAGACCAGAAGGACGGCTTTGGTGTTTTCACCTGGGCCGCACACCGAGAACAAGCAATCATCCAACGCCTAGAGTTTGTCACGTGACTGACGAAGGCGGATGGCCGCCGCTACGAAGGCTTCTGGTGCAAAGGCGAGCTCCAAAGATTCATTCGTGCCGAGACGCATGTGAATACCTGTTCGGTTAAGATAAATCAATAGAAAAAAATCAATGATGGCAGAGAGGTGGTTTTCTATCTAGACATTTGGTTGAAACTCCATTTTCCTGAAAGAGGTCATCCTCGTCGGTGGGCGTCCGCATGTGGTGCCCGGGTCACGGTCCTGTGAGGCCGCCAGCATGGCATCGGTCGCTTGTGCAATGCCCAAGGTAGCCATCGCTTGGCCCAGTTGAAAGCTCAGCTTCGGAGCCAAACGGATCGCTTGGCTTACCTGGGCGTGGATCCCATGAAACAAACATGGTGACCTAGAGGTTCATGGTTGTTGAGTGAATGCTTATCCGTTTTTCGTCTGAGCGCCATATCTTTGGCTACGCTCTCATGCATGAAACTTATATTTCTATTCCATTTTCGGTTGAAGCAGACAAGGCAGGTCGGATATTTCGGTCACAAAATTGTGAGGTGGGACAATGGCGAGCGGAAGACTTGGCTTGAAGAAGAGCAGAATGACTCTGCACAGCGATCTTTGCATGTGACAGGGTAGCACCAGTTGCGGCATGCGAACCACAGTCGACGGAGTTTGCAAATCCCTGGGAGTGGGTGAAACGACCTCCTCCTCGTTTCACGAAGACTCAACAAATGTCTTTGCTGAATCTTCTGCGCAAACACTCCTGGTCCCACACGAGCCTTTGAACGATCACTCTTCGAAGACACATGACGCATCATTGACCCAAACGATCCTAATTCATTGACAGTTCTTTAGTCCATTTTTGCATCGGTGATTGAATCCTAATGAATTCCAGAGAGTCCCCCTTTGCGCTCTATGTTGCCAAGCGTGATGACCAGATCGTGGCTCGTGCGAGTTTTCAGATGTCCAGATCGTGTTTGAGCATGTATGTCTTGTGGCCGTCAGCCAACCTGTCTGCTTTCCCAGTTGTGAGATTGGATCTTCGGAGGACTTGTACAATGTTCGTGTTGTAAAGGAAAGCGCCATCATCCAACTGCGAGTGAAGCGCACGGTCGGTCGGCTCTGCGTGGCCAGATCTCATTGCCAACTTGTGCCAATGCGCGAAAATGATAGGCGAAACATATGGACCACAGCTGTGCTCAAGGAGTGTCAGACCTTTGGTCAAGAGGAATCAGTAACCCTGCTCCCTTTTTGCGTAACCATCAGCTGATTGGTTAATTGGGGGTTGAAGGTGTATGGCAGAGCACTTTCCAAGACTGCGGACTGCGCAGCAGTTAAGCTCGAAGCCCCTAGAACAGACAATGGGTGTTACAAATCAGAGAATGACGCCAGCACTTTTGCTTGTTTCCGCCGTTTGGAGGATTTGGAGGGTAGTATATAATAGTATATATATATAGTGTTTTTGGCTGCAAAGGTTGGTTCTGGGCGGGGGCGTGACCATATATATATATATATAATGGTATAAACATATACAATAGACATCTGTGGAATCTACCGAAGCTCTTAAGTGCTCTTCGTCTAATGCCGGGCCCCCCATTGTCTGGGCACGAGTGGATTTGCGGAAGCCTTCTGCGAGAAGAAGAGATGGAGGATGGATTGTACTGCGTCGCATGGCCCGTTGGTGAAGGAGCCTGATTTGGGCTAGATCGGCAAAGGGAACTCACCCAAACGATGTGTATAGGCACATGATGTCATTGGGGATGGGAAGACAAACTGAACGCTTGCATCAACATAAGGCAATGCTCAGTTGTGATGTTGAGTGGCACATGGCATGGTGGTGGTAAAATGTTGTTAAGAACAATCCATGCAGAATTTTGAGTTTCCTCGGAGTCGACACGTGACCGCGAAGGATTCAGCGCGATCAAGTTACTGAGACGAACCTGACGCAGGTGCGGCTGAGCAATTTTATTTGAGCTTTCAGCATGTATGTGGAAGTTCGTTCTATAGGTTCGTGGTGTAAGCGTTCTGCGTAACACAATGTCATTCATTCAAGCTTTTTGAGTGATCAGAGCATTCGGCAATCCCTCAGGTACTGAGAACTATCCAGATACAAAGTGATTCAGTCTCATCCTCCTCATGGTTACACGTGGTAGATATCTCACCTCACGCAATGCTTATCCTCTCTCTCTCTCTCTCCATTCGGCCTGGTTGCCGAGGCTGGAGTCTCAACCCCCAAACCTTTCTCAGAAATCACGTGGACAAACAGATGGACACCCTTTGCTTCTCTTGGCCAAACTCTGACTGCGTAGCAAGTTGCCCAAGACTAGCTCGCCAACCTGGAGGGAGACTTTTAAGGATGTGATGACATGCTCAAAATGAGCATTTGTACCCATCATGCAGTTCCTGGGTTGGTTGCGCCCCTCCTCCGGAAGATTCCTCAAAACGCAAAAGCATGCCGATTGTGCCGCATCTGCAGGCAGCACTACCAGTGTTTGGCCTTGTTTGCACCGAAGTCGAGGTGCAGAGTGTTTGGCCTATTTCAGCATCAAGTCCCTCAAGATCAGGAAAGGCGTTGTCAAATTGTGCGATGTTGACGCGGCTCTCGGTGGAGGACGGTTGAAAGCTTTTGGAACGCATTATATAAACGCATGGCACAAAGTAGCATCCTCAAGAAGGAAAAAGACAGAATCCTCTTGCAAAAATACAGATCTTCACTCTTCCCTTCATTTTGAGAAGATTGAATTGTGCCCAACGCTCGTGCCGAAAGCTTACATACATGCAGTGCACCCGGCGCACACACCATAGGATACCATACAACGTTGCAGTGGGGCTGGTAGAGTCTTCCATTCCAATCCATTCCATGTATACATTTGTGATGTAGCAGGGCATGTTGATTTGTGGCATAACGGGGCATGTTGCCCATTTTGAGACGGCCACGCAGGATGTGCGGCTGAATGGTCTCCCACTTGTTCTCAGTTCGGTATGGAGATTGGTAGCTTGTGGGAGGTCCTGCAGCTGGGTCAACTAGAGCCGACGACTCAGAAACGAAGAATTCTTACCGTACTTCGGCTTACGTATTTACGCTGCACTGAGCGGGGGTTATCAATGGATGCTATTCCACACTATTCCACACTGACTTGAGTCAGCTCGCTGCTGATCACTGCCCCGCGCACAGCTGTACCACTTCATGGTTTGAATCGAAGGCTCAGACCGCGCGGAGATGAGCCCATTGGTTCAACCACACTGTACTGGCAGCGAGGGGACAGTAGACACCAGAATGTTTTTGAGAGTGTGACATCAAGCCTTTGAGCCAGGAGCAATTACACAGAAGTATGCCAGGCTGCCAGACAGATACTTGTTTAGTGGTTGGTGTTCTTTGCTTTGAACCAACCCCAAATATGAACACAGCAGTTCGAGTGCCCATGCGCACGTCATGTCATCTAAAAGATTGGAATCTAATATACAACATCCGCAATAATGTTGTAGCCACAGACGGCTGAATTCCATCGCTCTATTAGCATGTGACATGCACAGGTACAGTAGGTGAGGATCAAGTGTGTTGCAGTTCAATGCAGTTCATATCCGCACCAACCAAGTCATTCTTTCATGAACCTTGCCATGGGCCTGTGTTCGAGCTTGTGCATCGTCGTTTGCCCTGTGGTGCAGGGATGGTTGGACACAGGTCACATGCTGGTGGCGCGGATGGCTCAAACACAGTTGGAGGAAGCGCATGTAGCGACCCTGGAAGACATTCTTTCGAGCTGGTCGAGGGACTTTCCCGGCATGTCGAGCTTCGTGAGCAGTGCCTGAGACCCTGAACTTGGGACTTGCTTTCGAGATATCAACCTTAAAGTAGAGCTGGGCGTTCAGCAAAAACTTAGATTTCTGTTAAGTCTGAGTCAACGGATCCAAGGTGCGGTGTGGCCGGACCACATCAAGTGCACGAACAGCAAAGCGCCAGCTTGCCTGGGCCTACCAGCCACAAGCCTCAATGCGTCGCTCCTCTGATTTGGCATATTCTGTTACATTCCTTTAGAGTGCCTTTGGATCGACTACCTTGGACCTTCACCACAGTTGAAGACTTCCGCTGTGCAAAAGAACATCACCAAATTCAACCAGTCTTGAATCGTATCCCTTTAAAGGGTACATTGCACACAAAACACACTGGTTGCGAGGCGCATAAGGAGACTCCTGGCACATGTCTGCCTATTGAACCAAACGGGTGGATGTTTCATCCAATTCCAGGTACGTCACTATGCGGTGAACCGGCAGCAATTTCATTGAATACAATGATAGAGTCAAGGACATAGCCACACACATGTATATATATATATATATATGTGGTTTGACCAGTTTGAGTTGGAGCTATCAAACTTTGGGGGGTGTGGGGTAAGCTGCGCTTAGAACCTGTGATCGTTCTCAGGTTTGATACCTGGCACTTTGTGGATTTGGATTACAACCCAGTTGCTCAGAGCATGGTTGAAGGGAAGGTCAAAGCTGCGGGTTGTGGGTTGGTCGATCACCCACAACGAACGCATGGCGAGGCAAGCAGTTGATTTATTCTATGTTAACAATGTTAATACCCATGATGCCAGGTCTGAAGAAAGCAGAATGGTCCCCATTGAGCAGTTTTGGGACCAGATGCTTTCCAACAAACTCCCGCCCTGCCACCTGCTTCAATGAAAAGTAGCTGTAGTCATTTTTCATCTCCCAACATTGTGCATCACCAGGGGTTCACAGTGTTTTGACAATTGATCCAATATTTCTGAATATCCAGATGACATTGATGACTTTCTATACATACCTTTTTGGTGGACGCGGCATAGATCCAATTGTTTGCTTGGGCCCCTGACAGTCACAACTAGGATCGCGTGAGCATCGATGACGCCCAGCACCCCTATCAAAATCCATCAGCTGTGTGGGCGCTTCGACAAGCCATGAGCCGCCTGGACCAACTGAGCGGAAGGGAACCAGAAAATGGACAGGTATTGAGTTTGGTGAATTCTCTGGAACCATTGCTGTTGGGTTGGAGGCCATCGCTTTTAGGTTGGAGGCCATCGCTATTAGGTTGGAGGCCATCGCTATTAGG